AGCTCTCAGCTCCTTATGGTCTTGTAATTTCTCCCTCCATTTTTTGTTTCTGGAAGAATTTCTATTATTTGTTCCATCTTGTTTCAACAGGAATACCAGGTCACAATTTTTCTTCTTGGAAACTGTGCCCCACTACCAGTTTTGGGGATTTTTCTTTTCTTGGGAGGTAGGGGAAGCTCTGATTTTCCATGAGAAAAAAAATCAAATGCCAAAATATATAGGTATTTAGAATTTATTTTATTATAATGACTGAAGCACTGGTAGGCTTCCCAACTGCTTTAAAATTGTAAATATATCAATAAAACATTGTATTCAACTGATACCTATATATATAGTGGCCTTTTATCTTAACTGTGGAAAAACTTGTATTTTAAGGGTTTTAAATCAGAGAATTGGGGGGTTTTAAACAGAGAAAACCAGGATCCCTAATAGTCACGACAGACATTCACAGTGGAGTGTAGGGCCCAGACATTAAATTTAGATTTTTGTCTATAGCATTGATGATAAAATTCTGATGAGAACATTGCAATTGGGGTTTTTTTGTTTTGTTTTGCCAATAAGCTATTTTTATTTCTCTAAAGTGCAAATTTTGTGTAAGGGTTGGATTCTACACATTTTAAAAAGAATTATTTTTTTTAAACTTTTTACTAAAAACTCATTTTATTTACAAGTTAAAATGAAAAAAAAAGTACCAATGAATATTGTTCAATAAAAGGAGAAAGAAAAAGGAAACCATATCTTAACTTACACTGTAACATCAGTACTGCCAAACTCTTTACAAAGCTTAATACTTTAAACCAGAGGGTCCCAAAGCGTGGCCTGTGAGCCCCTCTGATGTGGCCTGACAGTACTTAAATCAGGGGTTCCCGAAGTGTGACCTGCAACGCACTTTGATGTGGCCTGCCAACCAAGACTGCCACTTCGAAATGTCCCATCAGGGCCAAAGCTTTGGGAACTCCTTTAAACAAATATTGTTTAACTGGCATCACTGGGAAGAAGAATGGAGGGAAAGGAGGAAGCAGTGCAAACATAATAGCTAATGTAATCCTTAGACAAGTAAAAAGGGGAATACTAAATAGATGTAGCAAAGTGATCTTGCCTATGTAGGCGGAGCTGATAAGATTGCTACTAGAATACTGTATCCATTGTTGTATTTGCACTTTAAGAAGGATGGGGAAGTATCAAAAAAAGTTCAAAGGAGCACCACAAAAATAATCTAGAGGCTGAAAAGCATGCCTTACGATCAGAGAACTTTTCATTTGGGCTGGCAAAGTTATAAGAAGTTGTAGTAACTACAAGTCAAAGGTAGACAAATTCAGCTTTTGACATACAATACAACTTCCTAAGAATGAGACTAATTAAGTACTAGAACAGAAATTAAGTGGTTTGCCCACGTGCTGTGGAGATGGTTGCGATTCCAGACCTCAGAGTCCTTGAAACTATGAGCTACCTGTGAATTCCCTTTTTTCATGGGGCACAGGAAGAATAAGCAGCTCTGCACTGTCCTCAAAAAAAACAAACAAACTCATAACACTGAGGCTTTTAAGACAACAAATGTAATGAAATCTCATGTTTCAGGGCTTTAGCCAGTAGGTGTCTCAAGGATATTTTTCTCCTTAATACAGAGTTGGCTTGATGCACTCTGTTCTTTTCCCATCTTCCTCTGAAGACAGGATGTAGCACCAAACCCTCTCTCAGATGTTCAGCTCACATTTATTATTCACATGTTCAAACTGATAGACAGATCTGGAGTTGGAAACAAATATTCTTCAGGTCAGACTGGCTAAGGTCTTGATGATTTTCTATCTTCCCGTGTCATACAGTGTGAATTGCTTACTAGTAGTATTGGAGCAAATCAATGGCATGCCACTGCAGGGGCCTCAGGCACTTGTAGCACTTCTTTCTTCTGTTCTCTGCCTGTGACAATTCCTATGCTGAAATGCTTTAGTCTAATCCAAGGTCCAGAGCCAATTAGAAGGAAGATGGAGAAATTGAATGACCCGTGATTTGCAGAAGACCTGACAATATACTACTCTACTGGTAATCTAGCCTTAAATTCTAAGAAACTACAGTATTATACGAATCTAAGGTATGAAACAGAAACTGTTGCCTGAGGATCCAAACTTATACATAATCCACTGACTCCTTTTTCCCCTGTTAGAGATCTCCTACTCAAGTAGTGACCAGACCCAGCTATTCTTGATTTATGTAATTTGCTGCATTCATGGCCAAAAACAAAATGACTTCAAAGCTAGTGAAAGCTGATTAGTGTCTAGTGATCCATGGCTGAAAAGAACTATGAAATCTACAGTATTAAGATCAATAGCAAAGTCAATATTTTTATAATTAGTTAAAACAACACTAGCTAGAAACCTACTATCCACTCTAAACATCTACTTAGGGTACTATCTTTCTTGTGTAAGCCATCCCAGAAAACTGTTTGCCTAATCTGCACTAAATCAGGATGTGGGGGGGAGGGGCAGGGAAGAAAGGAAAGGACAGCTAACATGAAGAAAACTCAAGTCTACCACATAATACTGCAAAGAAGATCCAAATAAGCTATTAGATAAATATAAAAAACAAGACACCTACAAATTAAATATTGTTAAGGAAGTAATATAACAATTAAGAAACAACATTACCATTACAAAAAAAGGAAGATGAACAGGACACCAGCTATTATCAGACATCTATGTGCTAATATGGTCTCAACTGTCCATCTTTTAAGGTCAGACAGCACTGGACCAATTTAAATCCAGGAAGGCTATTCAGCTGCTAACAGCTCAAAATGCAATTACGATAGTCCTATAAGTTATTCACCCAGGATACCCTGATTCCACAAAGATTTATAAATGTGCTTAATTTTAATTTATCAAATACTCCAAATGAGGTCACTTTCATCTCATATAATTGAGGTTATTATTGTATTAAATTATTGCTGCAAAAATTATTGAGATTTCTACTGTCTATGCCTGTGACCTTTCTGACTCTTGCACTCACTTTCATTTCTTTCAAATGATGAACCAATCTGCAAGTGGGTTTACTGTTTTACAACAGCCATTGCTATTACTTCAAACCAAATCCTCTCAGGCAACAGCATGGCAGCATTAAGCATGTCACGCTTGAAGCTTTAAACCAAAGCAGATTTTGAGTTAGAGTGCAAGAGGCAGAACATCTCTCAGTATTTGAAAACATATTCCCCCCGATCATCTGTTCTACTTGCTGAAACAACACAGATTTTTTAATTAAAATGTTCCAAAAAATATTTTCCTTCTAAGACTGAAAATGAGAAACTGCAATGTAATAGGTAACTTTTTAAGAACAATATTAAACAACTCAAATATTCAAGTCCTGATGCATCTCTCAAACCTCCAAGAAAGGGTAGCCTTGTTTTTGCATATATATTATCAATCTGTGGGAGCAAGCTGACAAATCTGGCGTGTGCAGGGGGGGAGGGATATAAAGACATAAGCATTATACATGCTAACCTGCTGGGTACATCCTCTTCTGTTCCCTTGTCTAGCACACTGCTCAGGTTATGTTCTGCCAGAGTCTCTTCAGGAACCTCTTCCAGTTCTTCTTCCTGCTGGAGTGACAATCGATAATTCTCCAGCTCAATCCGCTCAGGTGTGCCACGTAGTCGTTTAGCAAGGCTGGGCTCCTCCAATCCATTTACATTAGGACCTACAGAGCAAACCAGTGAACAGACAATAAATCTGATAAAACAGTTTTTGGAAGCAATTTCAGAGCTGGGGTGTAAGACTAACACTGGAAAATAAGGCACAAGAGTAATTCACATGGTTACCATGTTAGCCACTACTGAGAGAACTTGAAAGGAAGTCGTATTGTAAAATGGACAAGTTGTTACTGCTTTTGGCCAATGGACACTAACAAAATGTTACATGTCCTGGTTTTGTGGAGAAACAAGAATATTCTAGTTGTAAAAGCCAAGGCCATATTCACGAAAGGACAGGGAAGCCTTTGCCATGGGGACTTATCTATTCCTCCAAAGATATGGAATGCCTCAACTAAAGAAGACAAGGGAACACTCCTGCTGCAGGAAGCCAGAACTATTACCACTGAAGCCACTTCAAGACAGCAGCAGGAGGGCTGCTATTGCTTAGGGAAAAGTCAGCCCCTGAGGACCATCAGGTCTCCTTTGCTCTGGACCTAACCATACTTTCTCTCAAAATATATACAAAAACCTCAACCACAACTCTGTTAACACAATTTAGGTCCGACTTGCCCCTTTTATAATTCTAGGCTGGAGCCGTATGCACACCTCAGCCAATGAACCTCAGTCAGAACCTGATTTTCCTTAGACAAAGGAAAATGAAACCTGAATATATACTTGTTGCATTATCAAACCCAGTCCCCTAGTACCACACAAAATCATATTCTATAACTCTGTTTATACACTTATCAAGTTTCAACTTATAACCAAATTTTGGTTTCTTTCCCCACTGCTCCTTTTGATAGGATACTCCCAAATGTCAGGCTCCTGATGGTTAGACATTGTTTTCATTCCCAGCCTAGGCTCATTCACAGTCAGTTTACACCTGTTCATTTTTATACCATTGGCTTTCATCCTAAATAGCTCTTTTCCCTTCCTGGGGTTTTACCCCTTCCACACACCCAATTTATTTACGGAGAGCAATCATTGTTTCTCAGCCTTCTTTTATGGAGGTAAACCAGCCAAGGCAAACTCTCAAGATAAGTTCTCCAATCCTCTGATCAGCCTACTAGCATATCTCTGCACCCACTCCAGCTTGAATTCCTATTGTTTTTATATGGGTGATCTGTACATAGCATTTGAGGTGAAGACCTACCAATCTGTCTACAATGGCATTTATACTTCCCTGTTTTTGCAGAAAACACCTTACCTGATGCATCCTAGGAACACATTTGTCAACTTCACAGCTGCATCATGGTGGCTCATAGTATCTTGTGATTCATTAATATACCAAGATCTTTTTATTCCCAGTTACTACCTAATGATCACTCGGTTTGTAACAGATTCTTGTTACTAGTTCCTTAGGGCACTTTTTACTATAAAATTTTATCCCATTTTTTTCACTCCATTTCTCACTGTAACCCAGTTTTTCCTGTATGAAACTCCAACTCCTCTCTGTGTTGATGATGCCTCCCAAATTTGTGTCATCATAAAATTTCATTAGCATGCTTCTGCTTTTTTGTGTCAAGGTCATTAAACAAAATATTACGTAAGATTAATTTCTAAATCAACTCTTGAGGAATTCTGTCAGTAGCACATCATGCAATGTTTCCCCTTTCAGCATCATTTGTCATTACCCAGTTTCTTATGTACTTTACACAGTGCCTGAACTCACCCAAATCACCCTAATCTAACTACTAATTTCTCAGGCAACACTAGATTAAATGCTTTAAATCCGCTGTCTCTCTCTTGCCTAGTAAATTAGTTGACTTAGTTATCAAATAGGTCTAGCACAACTTCCCTTAGTAAGCCTATGTTGTATTTTATCTTGTTTTTTATGTACTTCCTACCTTTATTTATTCTTTTCCTTGAAAAATTGTTCAAAGACTCATATTATTGAAATCATTTTAACAGATCTGTACTTGCCGACATTATTTTCTCCTCTTTACTTAAACAGGACTACTATATTTGCTATTTTCCAGTCCTATGGTGCGACATTTAATTGGACAGATTGATAAAAATCCCCCCTACTGGATTTACAATTTGATATGCCAGTTCTTCAAATGTTCTAGAATATATATTATCTGGTCTTCAGTCTTCCAGATAAGCTTGAGTTCATCCTCCCACCCAAGTGCAATCATTTCTATATCATGTACTGCTTCTGCCTCCATGTTCATCCCTGCTGAAAACTCAGGCAAAATAGTAATTCAATGATCGAGATGCACCTTCAATGTCAACCCTATCCTCATTTCTCTTTCCTTTTGCTACTTTTATTTACCGGGTTAAAGAATACATTGCTATTTGCTTTAATTTCATTTATGAAGTCTAACCGTAAGACTTTTGGTAAATCTCACAATCTCCAGGACACAGCTTTCTTTGCTGATTAAAACCTTTTTCAATTCCTTGTAGACTCTCTGGTTATTCCCACTATCCTTTATGAAGTGATTATTTATTTGGAATAAAACTTGTAGGAAAGAATCCCTTTGACTGGTATACAAGTTTCAAATATTTTTTTAGAGATACAGGTTTTAGCTGTGTTAGTCTACAGGCAAAAATATTCAGAACTCTTGGTGGTATCTTTTATTTATTACACCAACTAAAAAGTTGCAATTTTTTTTCCCTTTACTTGCAAGCTTTTGGACTTTCGCACCCTTCCTCAGGTAAAGGAGAATGCACAGATTGTAACATTTCTCCCAGGTAGAAATGAAACTTAAAATTGCACAGGAGAATAAAAAGATGTTATAGGTTCCCCTGCGTAGAAAAGTTCCTTTTATGCAAATTAAGCTCAAATAAAAGTTCAAGCAGTCTACATACTTCCAAGTTGTCTGATGGCAAGCAGGGTATAAATTTTCTTTTTTGCTAAGATGTAAAGGCTGATGGAATGCATATACCAAATTTTGCGGCAAAGTTAACACAGCAGAGAGTAGGGAACAGATCCAGGCGGATCTGAACAGGTTGGAAAAATGGACAGAATGAAATAGGATGCTGTTCAAAGACAAGTGCAAAGTGCTGTCCCTGGGCAAAAAAGAACCACCAACATACTTACAGGCTGGGGGATGACCATCTCAGCAGCACAGCAACAAAAAGAGATCTTGGAGTCATAGCTGACTCTAAGATGAACACGAGTTGTCAATGTGACAAAGTGATCAACAAGACTAACCACACTTTATCATGCATTAGCAGATACATAACAAACAGGTCTAGGAAGGTGATGCTTCCCCTCTATGCGGCACGGGTCAGACTGCAGTTGGAGTACTGCGTCCAGTTTTGGGCGCCACACTTCAAGCCGGATGCAGAGAATCTTGACAGGGTTCAGAGGAGGGCTACTCGGAGGGCTACTCGTATGGTTAGAGGCCTTCAGGCAAGGCCCTACAAGGAGAGACTGAGGGACCTAGATCTTTTCAGCCTTCGCAAGAGAAGGCTCAAAGGTGATCTTGTGGCTGCCTATAAATTCATCAGAGGAGGGCAGCAGGGAATAGGAGATGCTCTATTTACTAGGGCACCCCCTGGAGTAACTAGGAACAATGGCCACAAATTGAGTGAGAGCAGATTTAGGCTGGACATTAGAAAGAACTTCTTCACAGTAAGGGTTGCCAGAATCTGGAATGGGCTTCCAAGGGAGATGCTGCTCTCCCCTACTTTGGGGGTCTTCAAAAGGAGACTGGACAAGCATCTAGCTGGGGTCATCTGACACCAGGGCTCTTTCCTGCCTAAGGCATAGAGTCAGACTCGATGACCTGCTGAGGTCCCTTCTGACCCTAACATCTATGAATCTCCTGGCTAAGCAGTTCTGTTGCGGGGAACTTGTTTTCCAGGTATGAAAATTCAGCTCAAACAAAAGGCTGGATGGAGCAAAGGTGGAACACTCCAGGTCTCTGGATGTTAGATTTTTGCTTCTGTTTTGTAAAAATGATGAAGTTTTCATTTTATAATAAAAAACTTCATAGTGATAATTTCTGCCAGTATTTCTCTCTCTAATTTGACAAGGATCTTTTACATTGCAAATGTGTCCAATGGAAAGTGGGTAGGGATCACCATATCGCTACATGATCTAAACCACATAAACCTACTCAAAGGTCAGAACACTGTCCTGCCTTTCCAAGGATAGTTTTGGTCTCTACCCTTTAATGCAGCAAAAAGGTCTTACATTATGTCAGCATTTTAAAATTGTTTTTAACAGAACTGAACCGTTTAACGGCTAGGATTCATGCTTCAGTTCATTCTCTGAGATGCCTAGATGGTGATACCATGTCAACCAAAGCTATTTTTGTAAGCTGTGTTACATTCTCCAGCTCTGAGTTTTCAACATCAAGGGATTTGACCTGGAATGCTAATCTGCCAATCCTGGGTGACAGCAAGTGAAATGGATTGTGGATAACGGAAAAGGACCATGTAAAGCCTATAGTACATTCTAACAAAACAAGTTTTCCATACTGGACTTTGAAGATTACAGTGTATTCTAGTTAGATCCAACACTCCCAGCATGTACAGCTTTCGCATGCTATTTCTGGCTTGTCCTCTTTCTTTTTTGCCTACTCTGTTTATTCTGCAATACAGCCATGTAGTTCAGAGATATAAGAAAGGATAAAAGAAGGAAAGATAAGAATTGCTTCTCCACAGGTTTTTTCACCCTTTTTTCTTCTTCAGAGCCTTGGTATTCTTGTCAGATCCTCAGAAGAAGAATTATTTTCAGAGTATGGTTAAGACCACTAAGAAAAACAAAATTTCACTGCAAAGATACAGAGATAAAAATAGTAGGAGCTTCCCCATTTAGAGGGGGAAACCAAACTGACATTTATACAGGCTAATGATAGTCATGTAAGCAACCCCCAGACATGTGTGTTAGGTAAAAGTTAGTAGACTTGCACCTATAACCCTATCCCCCCAACATGCATAGGGCAAGGAGAATTAAAAATCAACCCTACCACAGTATATGGGGACATATGAAGCGTCTCAGTGGAAGTGTCTATAGAATAAAGATGATAAGAGAAGGATAAAAGTTATGTGTAAG